AATCTCTACCATATTCCTGTGAATCCAAATCCGTCTTTGAATAATGATGCCGTTGATAGCCAGGATTATGCCCAAGACCCACACGAGAATATATCTATATATATATATATTATATATATTATAGTAAAGTCGGGGGGATACCGTCCCATTTATTTATTATGCCACAATATTCAATGACCCTTAATGGCATTTCGTAATAAAAATATTGGATTAGTTTGTTAGTTTTTCCAGAGCCATCATCATCATCATCATCATGAAGAACAACCACCGGAAAAACCCACCCACACTCATCACTTTATCAACTCCCAACCCAGGAGCAGACATTACATATTCCATTAAACGACTAATGAGCCCATTGTGCCAGAATCGAAAATTGTGGGCGGGATGAGGTTTAGGTGACCGAAAGATCAAAAGGATATCATCACATATCGACGAGAGTTACTCAGAGAATCTAGCAAATAGCTGGGTTTTAGGTTCTCAAATCTCTATACATATATTTATTATTATCCATTTAAGTTTGATGAATAAATTCAAAACCTGAAATTTAGGTCTCTGACCCCTGCAGGCTCCCCGATTGAACTCAAACTCGAGTTGGCCTATTAAAATATTAAAAACAGTTGGCCCAAAACTTCTTGGCACGTAGTAGGAGTTGTGGAACAAGGACCCAGGACCAAGGACCAAGGACCTCCTGCCATGAACCACGAACCTTGGTAACCGGATCCGAGGCCGCATCCGCATTCGAGTCCGCATCCGGAGTCCAAGTCCGAGTCCGTGCATGCATGTGACATAATAAATATTAATGACAGCAGATCTCCCACTGATGATGATGGGTGGTGTGTGTGTGTGTAGGTGGGTGTGCGAGTGTGTTTGGAGTTAGGAAGGGATGCTACTACTTTTGCTACTCCAGCGTTGACGTTGACACACATTCGACATGTGACAGATAAATTATGGCAATTGGTGAAATGCTGAGACACACCTATCTTAGAGATGGTCAAGCATATTTCGATATTTTATCGATATTTATAACAGAAATATATATGCTCTTGATAATAGTTTCATTAAGTTGGCAATATAAATTAACTTGGGAAAGCCAAAGTTTATATATCCTTGCAGTTGGAAATTGAATATGGGTTGTAATCAGAGATTGATCATAACTAAGCTTAAGATATTCGTCATATTTGATCAATGTTTTTTGATATTTTTATATGCAAATTTTTGTCAACAAATCAAAAAATTCAAAAACTTATAACTAAGCCAAAAAAGCATTAATTTTAATTCGGAAAACGGTCCTAGGTTAGTTTTTATTAGATTAATAAATCTGCTTATTCGATTTAACATTTTTGAAAACTTAAATTTTTTTCAATTTTTCAAAGTGTGAATATTGTGAAAATATCGATAAAATAATGCAAAAAAAATTTGTAAAAATTTTTTACTGCCGAAAATAGCTAGAAAGATTCGCATTTTGATGCTGATCAAGAATATATATGCTTTATAGGGTCGGAAATGATTCTTTGACTTAGTTTTAAGCTCCTGACTAAAATTTTAATACCCTTTATAAGGTAAAAAAATTTAATTTATGATATTTTTCGATTTTTTCTTGATATTTAGAAAGGTTTTAAAATATTTTTAGCAAGTCTACTTGCTTTACCTAAAAGAAAACCTCGTATATTTATAAACCATAATAATATATTTCTTGGATATATAGAACTTGCATCCCTTGATGTGTCCTGCCTTCCCTCCCTGTCCCATATGAGATCATTTTTCATTTTTACCCCCTGTGACATATGCGAGTTGTCCTTGCCCAGGCCAGTGAGGCTTATTGCTAATAGTTTTTCCTTATTCGAAAATACACACAGAGGTGTGAGTCCAGAGAGAGAGCTCACTCACTATCAATAAACGTCGCTACGTAATCGACATATATTTAAAAGTGACCCGGGGTCCTCTTCCATTGCCATGTCCATTTCGATTTCCATTGCGATTGATGACAGGCTGGCAGAAGCCACCCATTCCAGGGAGTCATTAAGGACTCCAGGTCCTGCGTGTTGACTTTCATTAGAAGCCATCGTCCAGGGTCATTGTCAGGGTAATTTCTCAACCTCAACCTCAACTACAGGCACAACCTACCGAAGACAAATGCGAGGTCATCAATATGGAGGGGAATAAGTCAACGAATGCATATGGAAACAAGAAAAATAAAAGCTAACTTCGGAAAGCCGAAGTGTTTATACACTTGCAGATTGCAATTCGATCACTAGGAATTAATACATCACTAGGAAATTATATATATTTATGTAAAAAAAAAAACATATTTTAATAATCTGAGGGACTAGTTGCATAGCAACAAACAGACGGACAAACAGACGGACAAACAGGCGGACAAACAGACGCACAAACAGACGGACAAACAGACTAACGAACGGACAAACGGACATGGCTAAATCGACTCAGCTGTTGATGCTGATCAAGAACATATATACTTTATATGAAAGGAGATGACTCTGCTCGGTATAATAATGTATCAAAACTTAACACCAAAGTCAGAGTCAGTTTTAAAACTAACGAAATGCTAAGAAATCAATGCTCGAGACAAATTTATAAATTAATTAGGCTATTTACTTTGAGTGGATATGATTAATACAAATTGATTTAGAACTTTAAATTATAATAATTAAGTAATGGGATTTATGACAATAACAGAATTAATTGAAAAATAAATGGATAGTTAGCAGAGCTCAAACTAGAATCTTTATATGCATATGATATATTTATCATGATTAAGACTTACCGCAGTGGGGGACACGTCATTGCTTACATCCTTCCAGGGTAGAATTATAATCGTTGGTTACTTTAAGTAGGTTAATCATGGTATCGAAGATCATTTCAGTTGCATTCCATTGGCCAGATGATACTTCCGGGATCGAAGGGTAATCACTATCACTTATCACTTTCACCAGAGATGTTAACACTAGGTACCCCTAGGACAGACTGAGGTCGCGGCGACCGAAGTGCCTCTATTTATAGTTCCCGAGTGAAGAGAACAGAGAAAGTGAGAGCGAGAGAGTAAGAGCTATCACTTGAGAAAGGCAGAGCGACAGACAGAGAAAGAGTTAACACTAGAGATGCACGGAGTAAGTGGGAGTGAGAGTAAGAGAGAGTGAGAGTATGAGAGAGGGAGAGTAAGAGAGAGGGAGGAAGCTGTTGATGCTGACAGGAATATGTTTACTTAATAAAATATATAATAATACCCAGCAAGGGTATAAAAAAATAGCAATAAATACTTTTAAGAAACTATCTTTTAACATTAAATATAAATATATATAAAAATATATGAAATATTATTTTTAAAGGCGATAAAATAACTCTATTTAAGCCTGAAAATAGTTACCAATTTACACAGCCTTAAAATAAACATTTAAATATTGCTAAAGAGTGTCAGGAAAATTTTTGATAATGCTAAAGCAATTGTTTAAAATGCTTATATAATTATAGTAACTTAAAAAGGCATTAAAAATGTGTAATAAATAATATAAATTAAAAACTAAAATAAACAAGTTATAAGGTTGCTTTTAAACCCCTTTTAAGATTAATAAATAAAAGAGGAAACCTTAGGCTTATTACAAATAAATAATTGATTGACTTATCAACTCCAGACTCTAATTTTCTTTCAGTGCTTTCAAACCAATAATCTATAAAAAGATGAAAAATACAAAATCTCGGCAATACAAAAGCGTCGCAGATTTATTTACAAACAAACGGGCTTAAAGCCAATTTCAAAAGAATGGCAAAGAATAAAGGAAGCCCCTCCTCCCAAATATAGAGACCCCAAGTTTCCACTCCCATTTCCCCATTTTCCCAATCCCCAATTCCAATTTTATCTCTGGGGTGAAAGGAGCACCACGGGTAATACGCGTGTATAAGAGAATCAAAAATCTAGATTTTGATTTCAGATACTCCAACCCCCCCCTCGGAAGGTCCTTTGGACAGGAGACTGGGGCACAAGTCAAGTGGCGCTTAGTAGAAGTCCATGTCCATGGCCAAGGTCCAACTTCCACCGGGAGTCACTCCAAGTCCGGGGCTTCCTATGAATTCCACTTCAATGAATTGAAAAATTGCCTCGAACAAATTTGATGCGCTCTCGGTCTCAGTTTTAGCTGCTTTGCATTTCTTTTTTTTGAGATACGCGAGATGCTCCAGATACACCAAGACAACAACGACTGTCAGGGGTTTCAGAAAACAAAAATAAAATAAAATAAATTACAACAAAAAGAAATATATATAGAAATAAAAGGGGGTCCTGGGTGGCAGGTTTGAGCTCACCGAACATGACATTTGACATTTGATAATGTCATTTGCCGCGTAATTGTTTTTTGATTTGATGCTTCTTCGCTTTGCTTACTTTAAATTTTCCATTTCTTTTTCAATTTGATTTTTTTTTCTATATATTCTGTTGATTGTTTTTCCAGCGATAGCTGAAGAAGAGGGTCTGCCTGGCAACAAATAAAATGATGGATTTCGGTTTTATACAGTAAATAAATTAAAAGAATTAATGAATTAGACATTGAATATTAAGAGATGAGTAAAATCTTACTTTTAGGCTGATTTGACAGATTTATCTTTAGTTTTAAAAGTTTAATGTTAACACAAAGTTTTTCGTTGACTTAGACATAGCTTTACAATATTTCTATCATTTAAACTTTTATAAAAATATCATCACATTTAAGCCTGACTATTTTTATCTATTATTTTCCTATTTTTGCAATAATAAAGTTTAATATTTTATATATATACTTACTTTAGAGGTTTCATTTAAGAAATATAATGTCAGGTTGATAAATTGATATATTATATAAATAAATATATATCTCTTTATTTGATGATTAAAATATACATAAAATATATAATCTTTTGCAAGTTCATGTCACTGAAAAGAATGTATCCCAATCAAAGGGTTTATAGAAAACTCAATATAATTTATAATAATATAAAATATATAAAAAAAAAATTTAGTTAGTTAAGAAGGTTAATTTAAACCTTGAAGAAAATCCTTTCCTATTTGTTCCTCTTCTTCATGCAGGGTATCAAAGACGCATCTCGGTTTTTGCTACGATGGGTAGTATAAGTAACAAAGGATCCCCCGCCTGATCCTGATCCTGATCCTGCTCCTGCGCTTCCTCCTGATGACTTCTGATGTTGACGCTTTACTGCGACAATTTTAATGCGAGCTGGAGCTGGAAAAATCACCAGATTTATTAATCAAAACATATATCTTCTAAGCCAATAATAATATAAAAAAACTAACGCGATGCCGATGTCATATTGAAGAGATTCTCCAGCATGCTCCTCTCCTGTTTGCTCTCCTTTTTCTTATTTGCCGGCCAATCGGTGGTGGGGTCCAGCAGCTGCTCCAAATCCTTGGGAGGTTTAGGGGTCGTCGCCTGGCGTTGACCCTCGGGGGAGCAAGGACGTGTGTTTGGTGTCAAAGTCGCTGTTCCGATGGAAGAGGACGAGGAGCTGTTCCGGCCAATGTTGCGAGGTTCGGGAATTGCCAGTTTGGAGGCATCCGAGTAATCGGCACGGGACAAGTGTCCCCTAATCACATCCAAGGTTTGACCGGCAACACACTCGTCACAGGCTGTGGAGAAAGACATTTAGATACATATAAATATTTATACAATATAGATTCTAAGTATTATAGTAAAAATATATATATTTAATATATTACAACTATTTTTAATAGAGTTTTCTAACAGGTTTTTCAACAATCTCTATTTTTAGGTTACCAAAAATGCTTTTCTCTCTGTGAAAAACTTGGATAACACTATTAATAGCTAAATTCTGGTGAATTACTTTGAATTAAAAAAGCTTTATACAAAAACATTTACAAGGGTAAGTGTATTTCTTAAATATTTTTAAAATATTAAAATATATAAATTCTGGCAGTAGAACCCCTAACAATATAATTATAAGCAATATTAAAGCATTGACAGTGATATTTAACAAAAACTTTATATTAATAGTGTTACTATTTATAAATAAAATAGATTTTTAGTGAGTTGGAAGCCATAAGAATAAAAATAAAAATATTTTGCTAAAACTATTAATTATTTAATTCATAAACCTGCATATTGCATCTCATATATTGTGGGTTTTATTTTATATAACCCTTAAAGGGTATTATAATATTATTCAGAAGCCCAAAATAAAGTGAAGGAAGCATTTCCGACCCCATAAATCATATATATTCTTGATCAGCATAAAAAAACGAATCGATCTAGCTATCTTCAGAATGAATCAAAATTTTTTAAATTTTTCCTAATTTTTTAAGGGATAAAATTGTCAAAAAAAACCTCAAAAATTTAAATTTTTTTGCTTTTGAACTAGGTACGCAGATTTATAAAGCTAATAAAAATTAAGCTATGCGTGGCTTCCGATTGAAAATTAATGCATTTTTGGCTTAAAAATCTCATGTCTTGATTTTTCCTCAAATAATCGATAAATATTGATTCAAATTTTCTTGAATTCAGATATTTGGCATTTTCTTGAAGGCGTAAAATGACCAAGAAACAAGCGATTCCAAATCTAAATTAACCTCTATTAATAATTATTCAAATATTGACAAACATATTAATCCCTGATTGCAAATTGTTTGTTTGTTGCAATTGGTTTTACAAATTTTGGCTTTCAGAAGTTAACTTCTTAAATTTCTTTGGCAGAAAATTTGTTTGAAGTCTGGTTTGTTTATTTTTTTATTGTAAACTAGCTGTACCCTGCCACGTTTCTCTGTGGCATATTGTGGTTAAGAGGGCACTTCTGAATACATCAATGTTCCGGCAAAATCATCTTCCTGGCATAAGGTGAAGAAGGCAGTCAGAGTTGTCGCTGGCGGATTCAGGACTCTTTCTTGCACATTTCTTTCTGTGAAATAGATACGTTGACCATTCTCCAAATAGACTGCCAAGTGAACTAAAGCTGGATAGCGTTCATGAATGGGAAACGAACAAATTCTCCATGCAACCTCGTTGCTGCTTATGTATCTTCCAGCCTGGTATTGAGATATTTCATCGACAACTCGTACTGCATTGCTGTCACCATTTTCTGCCTGAACACCAAAAACTGCCATATCGCTGCCTTTATTCACGTACTTGCAGATATATTTAATCGATTTCACGGAATTGCAATATTCTACGTTGATGTGCGCTTTGTATGATTTTGACAATAGTGGTGAACCACCCAACGATTGTCTACCTCAATATCACCAATTCTCATGTTTAAAGTTGCCGAAGTCCCTCCATCTTCAGTTGACCGTCTCCTATACAGAGGATATCCATCTTCCCCTGTTAGGTTGTTGGCTGTAAATGCTCGAGGATATCACTTGAAACACTTCCCGTCTACCATGCTTGGTGAACTTCGGTTGAGGGTACCACATGGGCCATGGATCATGTTCTTGATGACAACTGCATGCAAATCTGTATCAACCTCTGCCCGTGGAATCTCAGCGCATATCACATTGTCAATTTCGTCTGGAGTAATTTTATCATACAGCCAAATCAGTATGTGCGCATGCGGCAATCCTCTCTTCTGCCATTCTACCACCGCACAGATCCAAAAACTTCATGTTTCACAATGAAATCCATCAGTGACTTGAGCTTTTGTCTAAAAACACGGGCTGTGATGTCATGCCTATCCTATATGATTGTCCAGGAAATAACAGCTGTACTATCTCGTCCCAAGCTGGATTGCATGTGAAGGTGATAAATAAGTCTGGACGGCCGTAGCAACGAAAATATGCCTGGGCATCTTGAGCATATTCATGCATGTGGCGTGGACTACCTATGTATGAGGATGGCAAAATCGTGAGCTTTCCAACGTTGGTTGTATTACGGTCATTCATCACAGCATCCCGCAAATGGGTATATTCCTCGGACCGAAGTTTCTTCTGATTCAATCGGAGGAACAGCAAACGTTGTTTCAATTTTTGCATACATATCGACAATGTACTGATGAAACAACTGACGACATTTCAATATATGATTGCAATCGGTCCTCCGAACCATTAACCTGTATGAGTAAAAGTTCATCGCGCAGCCGCGTCTCTCGGATGGAGGCCCGTTCTTCGTCAGTCATATTCGTAATCTTACGTCTTTTTGCTTCTGTATTGCGAATACGACGACCCAATCTCGACTTCTTTGGTGGCATGACTTCGTTTCTTACTGAACCTGAACAAAAAATAAAATTTGTATCTCCAATTTCTTCTTTCAATATGTTTTTAATGTTTGACAGGAAATGCTTTGATTTGCTTGTAGAGGCCGCAGTAGTAGGGGCACGGGAAACGCTAAAAAAATAGATATATTCGCAACCGCAGATAAGCTATCAACATCAAAAGTAGTCAATAACCGAGCTGGAACCTCAACGCATGTTCTCTAAAAATTTGGGCATAAACGGTTCAGAACTTTTCAAGTTTCTTCTTTCAATATGTTTTGAATGTTTGACAGGAAATGCTTTGATTCAGCTGGCTGCCTGTAGATGGCGCAGCAGTAGGGGCACTTGGAAACGCAAAAAAAATAGATATATTCGCCACCGCAGATAAGCTATCAACATCAAAAGTAGTCAATAACCGAGCTGGAACCTCAACGCATGTTGTGTAAAAATTTGTGCTTAAACGGTTCAGAACTTTTCGAGTCTATGAAGGATGTAGACACGAACAGAGCATTTTTATATATATAGATGCAAATAGTGAGTACATGGGAAGTTTTTGAAAACTATGAGATACATAGTGAATACTGAAAAAAGGTTGTCAATTCTTTAAGATTAATGTCTGCCTTTTTTCTCCTTTTCTAGTTCGATTTCCTTTTATATTCTTCTTTATTTCTCTTCGTTTCTTATAGTTTTCCTCTCAATTCCTTCTCCTTTCTTCTGGTACTAATTATTCCAATTGAATTTGGCATTTAGCCTCCCTTGTAACCCTGACCCATGCTGAGCAGCATTTGGTTAAACGTCTTTTCGTTAAAAATTGTTGGCTCAGCAGAAGCCTTTTCCGGAGTCTTTTCTACCGGAGTCTTCTCTTCCGGAGTCTTCTCTACCGGAGTCTTCTCTACCGGAGTCTTCACTATCGGAGTCTTCTCTTCCGGAGTCTTCTCTTCCGGAGTCTTCTCAACCGGAGTCTTCTCTACCGGAGTCTTCTCTTCCGAAATCTTCTCTTCCAGAGTCTTTTCTTCCTGAGTTTTCTCAGCCTGCTGGGCCCGCTCTTTCTTCTTCTTTAAATTCTTCCAAATCTTCTCTTGCACCACATCCTTGTCATCGAAATAGTAATGTGACCCACCTCGAACTCTGTTGGCCCGAAAATCCTCATCTGTTCCATGCAGAACTCATAATCCATATCGTACTCGACTTCCTGCTCTAAGTTGGTCTTCTTCGATTGTTTGCCCTCTGATTATGTTGAATGATTAATTTTGAATTATTATTTATGATTATATATAATATTATGAATTAGAAGTGAAGAACTCACTGGATTGGTTGTGCGTTTTGGAGTTTGATCTATTGCGGTTTCCATTAGGAATGCTGCGAAATTCGCCATTGGGCGGACGGATCTTGGGTATGGCTCCCGTCGAGGGCTTTGTGGTGACCCCATTGGCCTCCCCTTCAGAGTTTAAGGAAAGTGACCCGAAACGCTCCATTTGCAAAACCAAACTGTCCACCAAGGTCAAGATGTCTGAAATAAACACAAACAAAAAATAAAGAAATAAAATATACCATATTTAGGTTATGCTGAACTCTAAAGAGTGACCAAACTCACAGTTGATGCGACTCTGCTGATTTTTGGCTAAGAATTCGGGGTAGAGAAAAGGTGGATCGTAACCCTGGCCAAATGTCAAAGGTGGCGTGCACTTTCCCAATCGCAGGGCCTGAGGCACGTTGGTGTTCGTGGATCTCGGATAAGTGTTATTGTTCTTGAGATGAGAGCACGTTCGCGGTGGCAGGAACGGCAGAGGCAGTGGCTCCTCCGATGTAGGCTCTGGCGATGGCGGCTCCAACAGTGGCGGCGTCTGAGGAGACGAGGTTGTACCTTCTCCAGAGTTACCAAAACTCACGTGTCTCGAACGATTTTCCGAAAGTTGCGACTGCGCATACAGCTCGTTTGGAAGTTCAACCTGAACAAGGAGAAAATCACCCAGAATTTGGTAATTAATCACTTTTTCGCTGTACAAAATCAGGTGAGGTATTGATTTTACAAATATTACAAAAACTCAGCAAAGGTTTCAAATAGTTGAAACTTTATAAGAAAGCCAAAGACCGGTTGATTTTCGAAGAATTTTATTAGTTTTGCGAACTTTGGCGCTGCCACATCGTTTTTGACCGTTTGGCCCTGCCAACTTGTTCGCTTTTGCTTTTGTAAAACTTTGAGGCTGCCAACCTTTTTGTAGAACTAGTTCATATTTATAATTTAAATATATATGTTTAATACATATAAATATAATCGTAGTCTCAACTAATATAGTTCAAGGAATTTAAATTAATTAATTTAATTGGATTAATGCTAAACATAATTCCCCCGTGAACTTACCTTAAACTGCAGCGACTCCATGTCCGTGTACACGTCCGTTTCTTGCTCTAAATCACAATCCTCCGGATCGGGATCATAGCCGCTCTCCTCACCCTGATCTTCTTCGGTGGGCAATGGGCTCTGTACCACATTCCGGAAACCCCTCTGCTGCTCCATCATCATGTTTATAGGATTTAAATGGTCTTCCGGTGTGCCGGGCCTTTCCCGGATGCGAGCTCTACTTCGGATCTTCTGTTGGGCGCGTGATAATAATATGGGCGCAGTATTTGACATAGCTCCGCCTACGAGATATACGTAAAAAAATATATATATATTCGAGACTTATTGGGTATTGGCTATTGGTTATTGAGTATTGGATATCGATTGATTTGATGGACAGGCGCAGTAGCAGCCCGAAGGCGGTTCCCTACCGGCAGAGAGTCCGAGTCGGTGTCCGATTCCGAGTCCCTCCCTTTTCTCTTTTAATCAAACACCCAACGAGGCACATATATATGTCTGTACATATCGTATATTGCCAGTACATCAGCTTGTACATCGGTTTGTACATCACAATGTGTGTAGCAAAGAGTTGGGAAAAAAGTGAAGAAAAAAGAAGGACGGAAAAGTCAACTAGAGGTTACCCTTTAACTCAAAGATAATTATAGTTAAAATCTTCAAAATGCTAAGGTTTTTTTTATAATTAAATAAGAGTGCTTTATTTTAAGCTTTCTTTCACAACTTGTCTAATTAGTTAAAATACCTCAAATCCTTAAATCCAGGGTATTCGAACAACTCAATGGGGAAAATGGAGGAAAAAAATAGGAGCAGGCGGAAGAAGATTGTTCTGCGAGATGAGAGCGCATTGTGAACAACAGAGGGAGAGCATAGCATGAAATTGGCAGTGCCTCCTCCCTACCTTTTGCCACATCCCCCCCCCCATTTATTTCCCTCCCAAAAAATTGCTTTACATTTTTATTTAGTTTTTCGTTTTCCGGAGTCAACCAGCCGATGTCAATTTTGGCTCTGCAATTGCTAGATAGTTTCGTTTATATGCTATTTATACAGTGTGACCAGATTGTAGAGATTGCTTTTGACTGAACTGCAGTCTGTACAGAATGCTTTACAGTGAGCAACAGTCACACTGTTTAGTCAGCTGTTTGCTTATAAATAAAATGAAGTAAAGGAGTTTAATTGATTCCATTTCCTTCTTCTTGACGACTTTAATGATTTATAACTAGTTTCTTTGCAGGAGACAGCTTCCTTTAACATCTACTCTCTCTTACTCTTTTAATCCCTCACTCTCTCTATCTCTCACTCTCTCTCTCTCTTCGTTTATCAGTGTTTCCGCTTCTACCGCTTTTCCGAATATTATTATATATATATTTTTTTTCGAGTGCTGAACTAGACATTTATCGCCGCTCTCGTGTTCACTCAACCCGCAGAGCCCCCTCCTTGGACTAATAACTAACGTGGCCAGCTCAGCTCGAACTCGACTAGGAACCCCCTTCTCTTGAGAGCCCCGCCGCCCCTGCGCCACATCAATTCTCCCTAGACACTATCAAGCCCCCACCCGACAAAGTTAGTTTACGGCCAAAGTTTAACATACAAAAAAAGAAAAAACCCCAGAATGGTATAAAAAAATATTACAAAAAATCGGAACCGGAGAAAAAATTACGAAAAAAAAGGATATCATAAAAAATTGTGTGCAAAAAAAAACAGAAGGAGAGAAAAAAACCAAAGAGGGAACAAAATTTTTCGGTCAAAAGCTAGTCAGGAACCATGCAGGGAATCATGGGAAAAGCTGTACCCAAAAAATACAAAAAAAAAAAAAAGAAAATATACTGAGAGATTGGGAAGAAAAAGCGCAGTGAGAGGAAAAAAATTGGTTTGCAATGCATTTTTTTTCACGCCAAGCTTTTCATTTGGCGCTGGCAGCCATTAGAGCAAAAATCAGCAGCAGCATCCATGAGATGGGGGGGGGGGTTTGGGAAAACCTAGGTGGAAAAGCGCGCCTCAACACATACATACGTATGTAGTTCTTGCTGCCGCACCACACATGTGGAAATTGTGCGCGTTTTGCAGTTTTTTAATTGACCAACAAATTTATTTGATTCGTTAGCAACGCGAATATATTCTTCCACTGCCATGGCTCTCACCTTTTCCCCAACCCAAAAGCCCCCTTGAATTTATATCTACGTCCATGTTTTTAGCAGACAAAAGGAGGATATATGAGGGGCTCCTCGAAATGGCAGGGGCAAAAGTAAGGGAACTTTAGAGATTATTTCTATTTTAAATTTGTTGTAAAAATCAATATATTTATATATATATATTGGACAATATATTAGTTGGGAATTTAGAGAAAATATATAGTAATGATATAGGTAATATCTTGACTAGGAAGCTGATGATGTTAGTTTAAGTTATCAGTCATAAGAAAAATAGGAGAAATAAACTCTCTTCAAGCGGTAGAGAAAGAGGGAGAGATAAAGAGAGGGAGACAGACAGTGCTATAAAGACAGAGAGAGCTAGAGAAAAACAGAGAGCTTGAGAGACAGAGAGAGCTAGAGAAACAGGAAGCTGAAAGCTGGAAATACAGAAGGAACTGGAGAGACAGGGAGATCTTGAGATATTGAGAGAGACAGAGAGAGTTAGAGAGACAGAGACAGCTAGAGAGACAGAGAGAGCTAGAGACAGAGATAGCTAGAGAAACAGAGAGAGCTAGAGAGACAGAGAGAGCTAGAGACAGAGAGAGCTACAGAGACAGAGAGAGCTAGAGAGACAGAGAGAGCTGGAAAGACAGAAGGAACTGGAGAAACAGAGAGAGCTAGAGAGACAGACAGAATTAGAGAGACATAGAGAGATAGAGATACAGAGAGAACTAGAAAGCCAGACAGAGCGAGGGAGAGACAGTGACAATTAGAGAGAAGGAGAGAGAGAGAGTAAGAGTGTTCCTTTTAGCTTCTGCTTTCTCTGATCTCTCTGTTTTCTTGTGCGACTCACAGTCTCTATAAAAGGAAGGCATTTAAAACGGAAACGGAAATAAACTCTCAATAAGCAGTAGCGAAAGAGAGAGAGTTTGCTTTCTTTTCTTTCTCTTAAAATCACTTACTTTCTCTGCTTTAAGTTTATAAAATATATTATGGCTTGCCTGAGGATCCAATAGAAAGCGGAAGAATCATAAGTTCTTATCAAAAAATAGTGAACGAGAGAGATATTTTGTATTCAGCTTCCGTTCTCTCTTTTACGCGTCACTCAATGTCTCTGCGACTCTGGGGATATATCATCAGACAGCGGCTTTAAGCTAATGCCCCTGCCAATACCCCTATTTTCCCAGAGTAATTGAAATTCAAGGCGGCGTTAGTCCACCGTCCAAAAAGGACCTTCTCCCTCCCCCCAAGACCGACAACAAGGATACGCACACAGCACCAGTGAGGACACACAGGACAGCAGTCTTGTTGTTTCTAAGGATTACATATTGGTAAACAACGATTACAACAACCAAGGAGGGCCCTCCTAACGACAACTTATTGTCCTACAAATTGGTTTGTTTGCCCGATTTTGGACTTCGGCAGGGGGGTTTATTTGATTTGATTGTTGACTTTATTGGTCAGCTCGACAGCGACAGCGACAGCGGCCTTTTGGGTGTTGTTCTTTGGCCTTTAGCCCATGGGTTTCTGTTGTGCGGCTTGTTGTTTTACGATATTTAATCTATGATTAAAATCAATTAAATGCTACACTTGACTTAATTTATTGTCGCTGCCCAAAAAATCAGACAAGAGTCGAAGAAACAGGGAGTTGGCGAGAGGTTTGAGGTTTCAGTTTCGGTTTCAATTGCGTAGACAAGTAGCTGTGTACACAGAGGAAAATTATGGTTGAATATTGAAGTTTATATTAAAATTTTGGGGTAAAATCGATTTTTGGAGAGTTAAAATAACTTAATAGAATAAGTTTTGAGCGAGAAGATAGTAGAGCTTCCATTGCTTTGCTTGGTTTATAAATTAAATTATTATTTGAAGTAGAATAATTATAAGAAAATAGTATATATACCTAGAATTTCATGAATTTACTTAGGTATGGATATAATTTATTATATGCTAACTATTATATATTATGTATATTATAAATTATATATTTTGAGTCGAAATACATATGAAATTTTCTTCTTGAAATTTTTTTTTTTTTTAAATTAAATGTGAATTTATTTAAGAAAGAAGAATTATAGAAAATTAATATATATTTTAAAAAAATTTCATAAATTTGTTTCGGAATATATATTGTTAATTAATTATATTAACTAATGTATACTATTAATTATATATTTTGAGTTGGATGACTTCGGTTTTTTCTTTCTGCCGGCATTTTTGCTTTTTAAATGGAACATTGATTAGGGTAGAAGAATTAAAAAAAGAAATATATACATTATGAATTTTTTATGTATAAAATAATACAATTTTTATATATTAAATATATTTCTCAATTAACTTATATATAGTAATTATGGTATTAAATTATTTAATACCTAAAATAGCTTTAATTTCTGTGTATAAATGATATCACCAAACAGGCTCATAAAATCAAATGGTTCTCTATCTCTCTCTATCTTTTCTCTCCCTATCTCCCTCTCTCTTTCTCTCTCTCATTATGCTATCTATCTCTTTCTGCCAATATAAATCTGATTGCAAAATCTACAAAATAAAAAGAGTCGGAAACACTTTGTCGGTGTGGCTTCTTGCTTGTTTTTGTTTCGGGGGCTTTGTCTTTGTTATTGGTTTTTATTTTCTGTTCAGTCTGGTGTTATCTTTATGGCTCGATCTGGTTTCGGATTGTATCCCCCCTCTCACTCTTTATACCCCCTCTCTCTCTCTCTCTTACTGTATTTCTTTCGGCATTTTTCAAGCATCAGGCAATATGTGTCGAGTAGGTAATTGTCCAACGGGAATCGGAATCGGAATCGGAATCCGTTTCGCCAAAATAAACAAAGGCAAAACAAGAGATAAAAATATATATATTTAAATCGGTATATATGTATATATATCTGTAAAGAAGAATATTAAGTAAGAGAGCAGAGTGATACCCTGTAAGAAATTATTAAATATCTGGGGTACTAAGAAGTTAGAATATAGGAATTAAGCTCTTACTGTGTAAATATAAACAAAACCCTTAAGAGAAATATCTTTAAAGTATATACAACTAATTTTAATTTTATTAATTCAATAGAAATTTAAATAAAATATAATTTGTATTATTTACCAAGTTCATGAGCTACTAGAAACACTTTTTAAACCCAGGGTAAACCCCCTTA